TATATATAATATATATATATATAATCATGCACGCATGTATATATATATATATGATATATATGTATATATGTGTGCATGTGTGCTAGCCCTACAAGTCTTTTTGTGTGTTCACACATGATGTAACCCGAGGTGCCCCGCAGGTGGCAAGGGTAGCTTCATGTGAAGCTCTGGCTGGGACCTTTGCTGTGCCTATGTCATCCCCACCACACAGTCGGGGAGCAAGTGGGAGCCCGGGGTCTGATGCTTACGACAGCACAGTGGAAGATGCACAGTGCCCGTACCCAAGAAAGAAGGACTTCGAACCAAGCAAGGGCCCAGTGCCAAACCCAAGCCACACCTTGCCTGTGCCACCTGCAAACCCTGGCCACTTGCCTGCGAGCCAAGCTCCACCGCCTGCAAACCCAGGCCCGACCCAGCCAGCGGCAAACCCGAGCCACACCGTGCCTTCGACCGTGCCACCGGCAAACCCTGGCCACACTGTGCCTCAGCCCGAGCCACCGGCAGACCCGAGCCACACCTTGCCTTCGACCGTGCCACCGGCAGACCCGAGCCACACCTTGCCTTCGACTGTGTCACGGGCAAACCCAAGCCACACCTTGCCTTCGACCGTGCCACCGGCAAACCCTGGCCACGTGTGTTCGACTGTGCCACCGGCAAACCCAAGCCACACCTTGCCTTCGACCGTGCCACCGGCAAACCCTGGCCACGTGTGTTCGACTGTGCCACCGGCAAACCCACCTAGGAAAGTGCTACCCGCAAACCCGAGCCACACCTTGCCTTCGACCGTGCCACCGGCAAACCCCGGCCACACTGTGCTTCCTGGGAGAGCGCCACACAGGTCTCACACCACTCCAAAGAAAAGAAGGGCCAGCCAGATCGACCAGAGCAACTCACCCCCAGAGAGTGTGAGCCCACCCTCGTCAAGCGCAACACCGGCTCCCTCCCACAACCCTAAGCCGAAAAGGTCGAAGAGCCCGAGCTACTGGCAGTGTTTCGATTGCAGTTTTTGACATGCATGTGTGGTTGGGTGGGTAGGTGGGCGGGTGTGATGTGTTATCATGCATGGACATACATATGTGTATACGTGCATGTATTAATATATATATATGGCATAGATATTGTACGATTTGCTGAGGATGAGGCGATACTTCGAACCGAAAAAGTGCGGGAGTCTGAAGTGCTCCCCGCAAGCACTAGAGTTGTACAAGACTGCCGAAGGCCGCAGCTGGGCAAATTCATTAGATCTCGAGATTCGATGACTGCAATCGTTTTAACTCAAAGCCCCATGTGCTTTGTGCTTAGGCACCAAGCTCCGAGAGCTGCTGAAAACCCACGGCAGCTTCAAGTCGCTAGAAGTCCAGCTCCGCAAGACGCACAAGAACAGCTACGGCAAAAGCAAGGAAGGCCAATGGGTTACCAAGCACTACCTGCAGAACGGGCTGCACTGGACCCCGCAACCTCCTGAGCATGCAATGCATAAAGTCCTTTAGGTTCTTTTCGGATTGCACTGCTATATTAAGGAAGATGGTTCAGGCAGCCTGGCAATGGGCGGCACGTACGAAGAATTTGAGAAAGAGTCTGATTCACGGGGAGGAAGAGGCGAGGTTGGTCTTGACAGACAAGTTCGAAGCACAGGATGTCACAACCAACGAAATCTCGATGAGCGGGAGCATCGATATCGAGGAGTCGGTTGCAATCTTAAAATCACTGCCCTCCCACTATAATATAAATATAACTATAACCCCTAAACCCCGATGCTACCCCCTCTGCTAGGACGACTCGGGATTTCTGTTGTCGAACGATGTACCGAACGTGGACGCCGACGAGGCTGCACTGACGAACGGCACCGCAGCAACGGGAGCCTCCACTGGCACAGCCCAGCAGATGGAGTCGTTCTCGGCCAGTGCATCCTTCAAGCAGCTAGCTTGCAATCCTATATTCCCCGGGCCAGCTACTCTAAACCATTCTGCTAAGCACTGAAACCCAATTTAAAATTATATGTCTGCACTAGAGAAAATGACCCCAAACCCAAGCCCGCACGAACCCTAGCTAGCTAGAGTTCTCATGCACAATCCCAGAAAAGCCGAAGGCTGACGTTCCCGAGCTTGTCGCAGACAAGCTCGCCCGTCCAGCTGTTGCCGGAGTACTTGGAAGTGTTGGGACGCAAAATCGATAACACCGAAGATGTTCTGGACCATTGGGGGGGGGGTAGAATTAAACCTATATAAATTTGCTGGTCACCCGATTATATTGTACTGTGCATCTTTGGGCAGGATCGATTGGCGGCTGTGGGGGGTGCTCGTGCCACGGCGCTGCTCCTCTGCACTTGGGCAATTAAGGCTGTGTGCTAGTTCTACTGCACATTCTATCCTACAGGCTCCGTGATCAGATCGCGGAAGCGCTCAAGGGCATGAAGATTATTTTCAAAGACCTGACCCAGAAGCAATCCGATGCCTTGACCCGCCCACTGGATAAGCTGCTTGATTCAATTGCATGATGGATCTCTCGTATGCTTAGATCATCTCGTACATATATGTACAGCTGAGGCCCTTCTCAGATTCCATCCTTCGCATGTTTGCAGATGCGACGAAACAAGATTTGATCATGAACAACTATGTTGTTCGGTCAAGGACACTTGTCTGCAGGTGATCAACTCCTACCCCCGCCTATACACATGTCCGGTCTTAAAGTCTGAAACCCTTTAAATGTCCTTAGCCCTCCACCCTAAACCCTAGACCCTAAACCCTTCTATAATATAGCATATATAGGAACCCTATAAAATCCTTATAGTCCTCGGCCCCGCGACTGACTATCGGATCCTATTGTTTCCTACATAATCCCTGAAGCCCTAAAGGTCGTTCCCCCCCGAGAGCTTCTAATAACTGCAATTCATAATCCCCTGACCCCTTCCTACGAAGCCTATAATTATTAACTATCAGGTCTCTGAAATCTACGGCCGGGTCCACGAAGCCTTCGACGGCGGGCAAGTCCAAGGACAAGCCCAAAGATGGTAAGAAGCCGAAGCCTTCCAAGAGCAAGCCAAAGGCTGACAAAAGCACCCCGAAAAAGAAGGGAAAGGGCCCCAAAGGTGGTGCCTGATTTTCCGCAGATCGAAGATCGATCATGATCGAAATTTGCACTTACAGTGCTCTGCTGCTATCCCGGTTCGTGTGAAGCCACCAGTTCCTGTGCACACGCGGGGAGGTTGTGCAAGATCGGAAAATCAGTGCTCATATTTGGCTTGTGTCAGAATCATTTGTGCTTGGTCGGACATATGCTGCAACCCCACAGAGCTCTCTTCTAGGGCTGCCACAGATTCGATTGCCTCCGATGCAGGTATGTTTCCACGAGTTCGGGGCGAAGATGGCGCACACGATGATGGTGATGATGATGGAGGTCGGTCCGATTATCTTTTGGCAATCTGGAAACATTCGGTAGTATCTCCCAAACCATGTGCCGGTGAAGCTTCAATATGCATGGCAATCATGCAGCTGTGGTGCTGAACTCCAAGCATGCAGTATCCTGATGAGGACCAACGAAATCGAACATACTCAGCTCCCCTGAAGCCACGTATGTAGAACTTTCGGCTTAGGCTGTTCAAGGTGACAAGTGGTCCCGTGAATCCCTACTAGCTATTTAGCTTTAATTGGTTTTGCCCGCAGGCCCTGAAAACATCTATGGTTCCAACCCAGGACCTTGGCCTTGGCAAGCCTAGTACCAGTCTCCCCAAACCTATAGGATAGAATGTACCAACCGCCCAAAGCACACAATGTCGATCCTACATAGCATACCCGCCATAGCCGCCTGCACCACGCAGGCCTCACAAGTGATGATGATGATGACCTGGCGGCTGAGCTCTTCGTGGGCTTTCAAACGGGTGTACCTTGTACTCTTCAGCTGTTGGGGGTTCTTCGGGCTTTGAATGCTGTAGCTTGTAGGCTGTCTTGTCGGTAGCACATGAGGCAGACACTGCAGAACGTGTTGTTCGGATAGCACAAGTGGCAGCACGCAAGCTGAAGAAGCAAGGACTCTTGGCAGCTGCAACCTAACTCGCATGGGTCTAGGGGTCAAGTTACACGTGGTTTTCAACGCAACATCTAGGACCAAGATTCACCCTAAACTAGCCCTGAGTTAAGGACCTGTAGACCCGGCGGAATTTGTCCTCGGGGACTTCGGCACTCCTACTTAGGGCAGCTGTGGGTTTATATGTTAGACTACTTAAGCTAGCTAGCTATGTGGCTTGTAGAAATCATACTGAACTCTAGATTGCAATGGGTGAGATCGTTTTCTGTATATGTTCCTTTACTACTGTGATTTAGACCCCTCTGCCCCGATACAAACCCGACCCAAACTTGTAGACCTAAGTCCTATTTTAAAGATCATCGGTTGTGCCCTAGTCCGGTTGAGGTCCTGTCGAACCTGGGCTGAAAGCCTTGGCAGCTTGTGGGGCTGGCAATCGTGTTGGTCGCAATGCTTCTCGTAGTTTACACAGGCTTATTGTACGGCAAGGATATTCTCTTCCTGTACATATTGACTTTGTGGAAACACCGGTTCGCATTGTGAAGAAGGGGAAAGCCTGCAAGGCCAACATGAGCTTCCCTGTGATCATGCCGTCGTCGTGGCTGAAGTACTCACTCAGTATAGGTGGGGAAGCCTTCTTAGGAGGATGCTGCCTGGATGCTGAAAGTGAGTATTCGACAACGCTTGAAACCTTTTGGGCCAACTACCGGTCTAGCCACCCCGACTGTCCTTGCTTTGTGCGAGACGACTGGTGTCCAAGCAGATCTATTCCGGTGTGCATTCACGGTGATGAAGGCCGTGGACGTGCTAAACATCCGATAATGGTCTTGTCGATACAACCGGTAGTGGGATGGAAGGGGCTGCAGCATGTCAATTGCAGCGGGCATCTGGGCTGTTTTAGTCATTAAGTCTTCATATCGTTAGCTAGTCGAGATCTATGGTATCTAGCATGTTCCTGGTCTAATTTAATCCAGAGGCACACTTTCAGCACACGGATGCTATTTACTGTCGTCCCTAGCCAACTCTATTGGCAAGACCTCACCTTGGACACGTTGATGGAGAGCATGGCCCAGGACCTGCTGGAGTTGTATGACAATGGAGTGGAAGCAGCTGAGCTGTTTCAGGCTAGTAGACCCTGTGCATGAGGATATAATCTAGGCCACGATACTGGTTCCATATCTATATAGGTTCTACTATGTGCCTATGCAAGGTGACATTCAAGAAGGGGGTGTTACGCTTCAAGTTCGTGGTGCTGGCTATAAAGGGAGACTGGCCTTATCTCAGGAAGGCCATGAAGTTGAGCACAGGATTTACTAGCCGACTCAAGTGCCACCTGTGCATGGCAGATGACCCTTGCCTAAACTTCTGCACTTAAGCTTTAGTATCTGGGTTTGGTATAATATATAGCTATATATATATAATATGTGGCTGATTTAGAGTTTAGGATCTTGCAAGGGTGTATAGGTACCGTTAACATGTACATCAGGACTGGTTTGTCTTGGGGTGTATAGGGTTTAGTTAAGTTACATCAGGACTGGTTCGACTGCAGCAAGGATGGTCTGAATCATGCACATGCTCAAGTTCCGATGCCGAGCCCTTTTAAGGAGGAGGAACCACCCGCACCGTTCCGAAGCCTGCCGACAATCGAGTACGACCGGGGGACCATCAAGCCGGATGTAGCGCACACTTACGCAATAGTGGGCTGGGGAAAAGATCTGGCAGCCAGCTCATTGGTTCTTCTGTACCGATTGAATGTGTTCCCAGGACGATCATTGCAGGCATGTTTGGATGCAGCATACGATGATTTCAGAGATTACTGCTATCAGCGCAATCTATGTACTTCCATCGACCACTTCAGCTTGAAGACCTTTAAAGTGGATTCGCATCTTGCCAAATAAACCCTATATGGTATAGGTTTAAGGTATTTTGTCATTAGGCCGGGTCTTATCTTACGGGTTTAAGGCTGCAAACTGCTGCCAACGTGTGCTGCATGATCAGGCTGCGAGAATTCCCTTCTGGATGTGGGAAGGGGCATGACTGTGGCCTGATGAACTCGTGGCTTGAGTACTTAATTGACCGAGTCGACCAAACTACCCTCGTGCCTTGATTTCCAATAATCCCGTAGCCGACATACATAGGTTCAGCAGGGGTCGATAATTAGATCAGGCTCCCCTCAATCTGCAGATATTCAAAATCCTACAATGGACCATGCAATGCTGTGGAGTTCATTTCCGAACACTCTATGGTTCTGGGATATTTTTAACCCGGGAGCAAGCCTCGATCGCCGTTGAAAGCGGGTGGAAGATGCTGGATCCTCGGCCTGAGTGGGGTGGGTTTAAGCCCGGTTGTTTATCATGATAACAGCCAATCCTAAACCCCAAACCCTAAACCCTAAACCCATCGGATCGATCGAGTCATTGTATTGCAGGAGGGCTACTTTCGACTTGCAAGACTTTGTGCCGAGCGCAAATGGGTCCTATATAAAATCCGTCCCAAAATCCACATGCAGGCCGAGATTGTGCAACTGTGCTGAAGAAGTATAAGATTTGCTATATCACGCATACAGTGCATACACCATCAAACTCCTAAGCCGAGCCGGCTTTTCATGACAAGATCTGCTAAGATGGGCAGTGCAAGCACAGCTGAACAGCTCTCCAGCTGCTGCGGTCATCAATTGCACCTGCTGCATGGTTGCATTCCTGCAAGCTTTTCTAGTTTCCGATATCAATGAGCATTAATTGCATCATGGGCATCTAGGCTGGTGTACATGGGCTGACGAAGACTTTATCGGCAGAGTTGCGAGGGTGTCCCGTAGATGCCATGCAGCCACAACAGTGGTTCGTACAATCTCCAAATGCTTGGTTTATTACAAGCAGGAGTGGAAGCAGATATTTAATTTCTGAGCATCCGGCTGAAAGTCCGCAGACGAAGTCGCCGTCGAGAAAAATGGGATGTGCATGGGTGTGTGTGTGTGTGTCTGTGCACACGTGTGCGACACGAACCCTGCACCCCACCCCAACCCCGAACCCACCCCAGGATCCTTAAGACTAATCTTGATAACCACCCCGATGTGACCCCACCAATTGCAGAGGTCGTCGCTCTGAGGGCGAGAAGCTGATCGTTAACCCACAATCCAAGCCATAAATCCTAGCCCAACCCCACGACATATTCAAATCAGGCCTATATATCATCCCCTATGCCGAGTCCGTACACAATTCCCATAATCCGTACACATTTGAGAAAGCGGCCATAAACCTAAATATTTGATACACAATTTTTTCGTTACCGAAATAAACATAACAAAAGAAGGTCTAGGTATATATACATATATATATGCACACACACATAGTTACTTGTAGTATAATCTACCCCAAAACCCTGTTCTAATTATTAAGGCCCCTGTATCATCTCTGCAGCATCCCTATCTCTTGCGAGAAGTTCGGCCCGACAGTTGGATGCGCACATGGCACGCAGAGAGATCTCGATTCCGGTGCAAAATGCCTTCACGGCTGAAGCTTTGGGAGCCTTTTCAATCTCCTCGGACTCTCTGGGACGAACGCTACTGGAGAGAGTGAGTCAGCAGTGTGCCCTTGCTAAGAAGCAAGAGGTCAAGTTGCTGGTCTTGAACAAAGGGCCTGTGCTTCTGCAGAGGAACTTGGCGAGCCAAGGCATCGTGGAAGGCACGGTCGTCACTTTTGCTATTCGCGAGAAGAAGGATGCTGGGGAGATCCAGAAAGATCGGAGACGTATTTGGGGATGCTTGTCTGGCGATGGGAGCTATCATGATCTAGTCCGGAAATTGACTGCGGATCAAGTGGACAAGTGGAGGAGGTCGCTGGATCTGTATCTTCCGCCGAAGAGTGTCTACGCCAGCTGTTGCTTGTCGCAGACGCAACGCAGCGATGGAAGTTGCTTGAAGTCGCGAGTAGGCGGGGGATCCTCGACACAAGCGAGGGCATCCTTGGGGTCAGGGAGCTCCTGAAATCTAACATTGATGCTACCTCGGAATGCAACAAGGGGGCGTTGCAGGTCGCTTTGCAATGGGCACATCCGCAGGTTGCCAAGACCTTGCTTGAAGCCAGCTGCACTGTGAAGCAAACGGATGCTTCTGGAGACACGCCACTTTTGACCGCAGTTATGGCCATGTCACAGACACTTCATACACAGCGTTCTATGTGCAGTGTGGGTGACCTAACCAACGACGCGATGCTCGACGTTGTTGAGCTCATGCTTAGCCGCATGTCGGATGCTTGGAAAAATCACTCGAATCGTGGAGGAGAGACTGCGCTGATTCGTGCATGTTCGGAAAACATGCCCAGGCTTGTGAAGCTTCTGATTGACAGTGGGTGTCAGGTGAATGCAACAGACTCCAACGGACGTGCAGCCTTGCACCATGCTGCAGTGAAGCCAGCATGCATTAGTGCTTGCACATGTCTGATCGATGCAAAAGCCAACGTGCATTTATCTGACTATTCTACGAGGACGTCCCTGATGGTTGCAGTGGAAAAAGCAAACGCTGAATGTGTAAAGCTGCTGATCAGTGCCAAGGCATCTGTGAGAGATGCATGTGCAGCAGAGACCGTATTCATGGCTGCTGTGACCAGATGCATCGATTCCGGTCTTGGTGAGAGGCAGCGGAAGGTTCTGAAATGTTTGATCGAAGCAGATTTTGAGTTCTTCCTATCATGTCAAGAGGAACTGCAGGAGCGAGCCGCTGAGGAGGCAGACTCTGACATGTACGAGTTCCTCTGCTCTCGGAAGCGACCTCGGCGAGACAAGAGTTAAGGCCCAGATGGAGAATCCAAGCTTGAACACGAGGCTGATGGCTGTGCTGCTGCTGATGATGATGCTGATGATGTGATCATCAAGATGATGATGCTGATGATGATGGCTGTTGTGATGATTACGATAATGATGATGATGATGATGACGATGATGACGGTTGCTGTTGTGTTGATTATGATGATGACGATGATGATGGCGATGAAGATGGTGGCGATGATGGTGATGATGATGGTGATGAGGGAGATGATGATGATAATGGTGATGATGGTGATTACGATGGTGATGGTGATGAGGGTGATGATGATGATGAGGATGATGATGTTGATGTTGATGATGGTGATGACAATGTTGATGACCTTGTTGATGACGTTGATAATGATGGCGGTTCTGATGACTCTGACAATTGCCATTTTGAGGTTGATGATGATGCTGATGATCAAAATGCCGATGTTGATGGTAGAGATGATGATGACGATGCTTTCTGAAGCTTGTATGGTGTATTCAAGTCTCTTCACTAACCTGTCAATGGGACATGACGTTGCTGTGTCGGTCTTGTGGCTCCCAGACAGCCTTACAGTTCACATTCATCCGAACGCCAAATGCTGAAGCCTCAGACTCAAGTAATAAGGCTTAATTCTGAAAGATGTATGTTTAGCCGGAGTTACGAGGTGTTCGACGAAGGTGTCCCATGTATCGTGCTTTGCGCATCGGGAAAATCCGTACTTCGGCAAGCCTGCCGTCGGCCAACCACCTTTGCCAAGGTAGCTTAGGGTACCTTCAGCTGGGCATGCCAATCCGCAGACAATGATCATGAATTCACCTACTTGTCCATCATACTTCTTCTTTGTCGTCGTCTATGGATCCCACTCTTTGGGGGGATGTGCAACCCGGCAAGTCTTAATCAGGTTTCCACCTTACCAAATCCCCACGCCTGTCCCCGAGCTTTGGAAGTTCACTTCGCAGGGCGGAACAACCACCGGCGCTTCATAATTCTGGCGACGATAGAGCCGCTCACGCAGCTGTGCTACATCGGCATCAGTGTCGCCTGGCTTAGGGGCATGGCTTTGGGGGTTGGTTTAAAGGTGCCTTTATGGGTTCTGTAAGCCATGGGTCTGTTGGGTGTTCCGTGGTGTCTGCGGCGAGTTCGGATACTTGGTGCTCTACGCCCACCACATGTTTTCGCCTGATGTGATTGCCAGCAGGGTAAATCATTTGATCTACCGGTCTGAGCATGTACTCATGCTCAAGCAGTCAGTGTCTACCGCGACACGTTGTACATTTTGCCATCTTAGTAAACCGAAGCTGCATCCCCAGTGTCTTATAATTTAAAAGGAAGGAAGCCCTAAACCCTAACCCTATACCCTAAACCCTAAAGCCCCAAACCCCTATAAACCCCTAACCCCCCCTTAGAACCCCCAAACCCTAAGCCCCAAACCCCTATAAACCCCTAAACCCCCTTTAGAAACCCCCAAACCCCTAAACCCGAAGCCCGAAACCCTAAACCCCATATATACCCTATACCTTAAACCCTAAACCCCTAATCCCTAAACCCTAAAACCCTAAACCCCATACCCTAAACCCTAAACCCCTAAACCCTAAACCCCAAAGCCATAAACCCCAAAGCCCTAAACCCCTAAACCCTAAACCCCAAAGCCCTAAACCCCTAAACCCCTAAACCCCTAACCAGTTGCCTGCCGTTCCCCCATGGTTCCCAGCCTCCAGGCCGTGGTCGCCTACAGGCCCAGGGTTTCCTCATCTCGGCCCGTGGGTTTTTTGGGGTTTAGGGGGTTGTAGGGGTTTAGGGGGCTTTTGGGGTTTAGGGGTTTTTTTAGGGTTTAGGGTTTTTTTTAGGGTTTAGGGGGTTGTTTAGGGTTTAGGGGGTTTGAGGGTTTAGGGGGTTTTAGGGTTCAGGCTTTTGGGGTTCAGGGTTTTAGGGTTTAGGGTTCGTTTTTTGGGGGGTCATTGAAGTGACTATCCCGCAATTGCTCAGGCTTTCTTGGGAGCTTCAACATCTGTGGTTACAGCGATAAGTGCCAGCATTGATGATGAAGTTGACCATCATCATCATCATTATCATCATCACGGCTCGGCGCTGATACAGCTGGTCATGCTCTTAGTATTTCTGGTTGTATTACCATGGTGATGATGGTGCTTGGATTGGGTTTGTGACGATCTAGATGAAACTACTACCGATGAAAACGTTGCTGACAGACCTGCATCATGACCATGACTGCAAAAAAAGTCGCAGTCCCAGGGCATTGCAAGCATTGAGACTGTTCAGCAGTAGTCGCACAAAAGAACATGGCTGTCGCACCCGAATTCGGGACGAAGATTAGACAGCGGCTGAGATCTTTTCGGCTCTTTTGGTGCTCAGCTTTGCTGCTGTCCTTTTGTTTTTTTTGTGGCAACTGCGACTCTTCGAGTTGGGCCCATGTCTTGTTCAGCAAGATATGAAGTGGTTTAGGGTTTAGGGTAAAGGCTGTCTATGGTTCGGAGCAGTAGTTTGCAAACCCAATCTGCGACAAGTATGTGGGGTCCCGAATAATTAGAACATCAGTCGTTTAGGTTCCTCATTAGCACCTGCCAGGTGCAATATGGCCCCAACCTTCTTCTAACTGTTGATGCCCTGGTATCGCTTCTTTGAACCTTCGCAAACCCTAAACCCTAAACCNNTAATTACTTCGGCCCCTAGATTATGTCTTGTTCAGCGAAACATAACATCGTAAAGGCGGTCTATGGTTTGGCATGGCCAGCGTTATCAAGAATCTCTGACCAGTAGTTTGCAAACCCAGTATGTGTTTTAATGAGAACATCAGTCGTTTAGGTTCCTTATTGGAACACAAATAGCTACTATAATATGGCCCCGACCCTTTTGAAATTATTGATGCGCTTGTATCGCTTCTTTGAGCCTTCGCAAGCTGGGGAGGCTATGCCTCGTGCGTTGCGCAGGGGTTTCTGCTGCAAGTGGAGAGCTTCGTGGTCAGCAGCAACCCTTAAAGGAGCCCCCAAAAAGAATCCTTAAAGGAGCCCTTAAAAACGAGCCTTCAAAGAAATCCCGAACGGAACCCTTAAGAAGGAACCCGAAAAGCTGCTTTCTCACGACTCCCAAAATGGCATGTCGCACTTCGGATATGAAACGAAGGAAGGCTCGATTGAAACCATGGCCAGCTTTACTCTTACTGCTGCTGTATTTTTTCTTGCAGCCAATGTGTTGTTATGGTTGTATGTTTGGCATACAAATACAAAGTATGGTAGTATCCTTCCGTAAGAAGTCTAGTTCCCTTTATAGCAGGTTACTGGCTGCCCTATACCAATCGGAGTGTCCTGAACCTTAAGCCCTATTGCTTAAACTCAACCCTAAATCTTAAACCCTTGAACTTGCGCAGGGACATCGGCTTCCCACATGACCTCGACGAAATCTTCTGGCTGCCTTACAACATGGCCACTCTGGCGATGTTGAGGTCGTCGGGTATAATAGTCTCCTGACCTTGAGGATTGTGGTGCTTCGGGAGAACAGGTTCATCCGTGTGTGTGTGCGTACACACATACACAAACTCACACTCCATGTAGCATATGCTTCCATGTAGGCTCAAGTTGCATGGTATGTCGTTATGTGTGTGTGCATACACATGTCTAGGGGTATGTGTGTATCCTTATTTGTAGAGAACCGTTCATTCATATACACACACATAAATATATATTCGCAGGTTTCAGTTGTATATACACACGTGTATGTATATATACATAGCATGTACCACACAAAAATAGCAAGGCCGTGATGTTCCCGACAGCTGTGATGACGTATCCGTTGATGACCGTGGCCGGGTGCTCAGTATCAGAGGCCAGGCTTAGTGTACACGGCTCATGGGGTTGGTCGAGCAGGCCTTTTTATGGGTCAGGGTTTGGGGTGTAGAGATCTATATTACTCAAGGCTTTCATCGGGCTTTTGAGGTGTTGCGGTTTAGGGCCTCCGGCTCGATCCTCCCGGCGTAGTCTCCAGGATGAGTAAAAACGAGGTTTTTGTTCGGCTAGACCGCCCTTTTTGGTTGAGATTCTGCCCACTCTTGCATAAACCCCAAAAAGCCCTCAGCCCTCAGCCCTGAACGCGACAGCTTGATAAAATGACCCTGAACCAAAAAGGTGACTTTGGTGAACATGGGCACTTCGGCCATGGTTTTTCAACTGCTGGCTCAGCAGGCAACCTTGATCAGCAACCTGGGCTGCAAGGATTGTGAGTTCGGAATCTTAGCCACTCCACGACCACTTCAATTCAACAGATCCCAACCCTTAAACCCTAAACCCTAAGGTTTACGGCTGTCCTGAGTCGTGATGATTGCAAGTAGGCCGTTCTCAGACTTTGGCAGTTGATGCGTCGTGCTGGAGTACGGCAGGTAAGGTTATATGTGTCGGTGAGCTTCGGAAGTTGAGGGATTTGTTGGTACTGGGGTTGAGGTTTTATGGGTACTATAGAAGCCTAAATATTGACAAAAAAGGATTCCCTTGGGTTCCTTATTATATAGTTATTCCATAAAAGAGCCCAACACCTTAGTCTAATTATTCAGGCCCCTTCTGTACCCATAGGCCCCTAAGTAGTTCCTTTTTGGGATTACCTTATAGAATTCTACATATAAACCATAAAAAGGAACTACTTAGGGGCCTATGGGTACATTTAGGATTTTGGGTGAAGGTTCGGATCCTGTCTTCAGCCCAGGTCTCAACTGGACGGTAAATGAGCCAGGACCTCATCCAGCCGGAGCTCAGGGTTTAGGGTTTAGGGTCTTTGGTTTAGGGTTTGGGGTTTAGGGTTTAGGGTTTAGGGTTTAGGGTTTAGGCTAGGGTTTCGGGTTCAGGGGTTAGAGTTTTAGGGTTCGGGGATGAGGGCTTAGGGTTTTAAAGTTTAGGATTCACGGTTTTAGGGTTGAGAGTGTTCAGTGTCCTGTCTTTAGATCTGAGTGAGGATTGCTGGAGCAAGCCAGACGCCTGACCCCGAATTCCTGAAT